TCCCAAACATGTGTGAAGCTCTTTACTAATATTATCTCATTCTTAGAGGTATATATATATATATATATATGGAAATTACATAAAGAAAAAAATACACTGAGTGACTTCTAGGGCATCTTCCAGATTGTTCTTTGCCTTACTGTGTCATTGGGGAACCTAACACTTGGAAGCAGAAATAAAAATAACTGTACTAGCTACCTCTTTCTGTGGGCTAGGAACTGTGTTAAGTACCTTACAAATGTTTCCTCACTTATTCCTGAATAACACCCTCTGAGTAAGGTACTACCACTCACCCCATTATCAGATGAGGAAACTGAGGAACAGAGCAGTTAAATGGCTTGTGTAAGAAGCAGAGCAAGTATATAAGTCTGTTGACCCTAAAGCCTACGCTTGTAATCACCATGCTTCCAGAGGGACTGCCAAGCCCTCCACACCTTGTCTGGATGCCTGAGAACGTGCCTTTCCATGGGGCCACAGGGAAGCCTGTAAGCTGGGGGAGGGTTTGGGAGGAAGGAGGTGGTGTTAGTAGCAGAAAGATCCACTGAGAGGAGGGGTGGCACGCAGGGCAGCTGGGGCTGAGGTAGGTTCTGGAGACCATTCTGCAGGAATCTCTGAGCCCAGTAAGAGGCTGGCTCCTCATTCCCTTCAGCAGCACTTGGTGAGTCTCAGCTTTGCTCCCTCTCTCACCCAGGGAGGGCAGGACAGGCTGTTCTCTGAGTTCCAACAGCAGGACTACTCCTCAGGAACAGAGCAGAGCTGCAATTAGGGCTTTAAAGTCTGTGGTTGCTAGGCAAAGGCCCTGCCTTACCTTTTATAGCCGTCTAGCTTGAGATGTCACAAGTATTTAGAGATTTTGGTTTTTTTCCTCTCTAGTCAGCTTTATGACCCTAAACACATTCTTCCTTTTACCCCTGTCGCTCAATTAACCAGCCTCTGGAACAAGTCGGTAACTCACTTGCGAGCCTAGAAGGCTTTCTGGTCCGTTGTGAGGCAAATCACATGGGTTTGACTGGGCAGAGATCAGTGCAGCATTTCTTCTCTTGGATTTAATTTGCTTAACTTGCTCCCATCTGTTAGTGGCTTCCCATCAGGTCTAGTGGCTCAGCGGGGTGTTTTTGATGGCAGAATGCTGGCTAAGAGCACAAGTTTAGGCTGCAGAGGGGCCTGGGGTCTGCCATTACAGGGCACATGACCTGGGACATGTGACTTGGCCCCTCTGCACCTTGATGTTCTCACCTGTAAAGTGGGAGAAAACTATTACTTCCCTCAAAAGATTGTTGTGAGCATTAAATGAGAATACTCTGGAGCACTTAATCCTGATGCTGGCACAGTGCTGTCCCCTTAATCTTCCTAGCAGGCTGAGGCAACACAGGCCTGAGACAAAGGTGTCTGGATCATAGAGTCAGGGGTGATGCACTAGGCTTTTCCCTAGACAAGCTGGGAGGTGAAAGGAAAAGAGAGCTTGTAGCTGAAACATCCACTTTGGGGACCTTAAGAAGACAGAATCCAGGACTTTCAGGATTGGAAGAGACCCTGGAAATCCACTAAGACTGAGAAGAAGGCAGTTACATAGCAGAAGAGTGAAAAAGAGGGCAGGCCAGGGCTGCTCATGAACGGGTCTGAGGCTTTGATGGGAGTGCCTGCCAGCCGAGAAAGGTTAGGACTGCAGGGTCCATGAGCCTGGTTGCCGCTCAGGTGGAGAAAGAAAGTTACCCCATCCACCCTTGGATTGATTCCTCATTTCCCCTGGAGGAGATGCTGGCGACTTAGGAAACTAGATGGACTGGGTTCCACTTGCCCTAATCTGGTTAGAGCCAACCCATGTTTCCTGTAAGGTCTGGCGTGGAAAGCAAAGGGAGGGGATGCAGATCTGGGCCCCTTTGATTCCTTGGCATAGCTGCTCTGTCCTGTTTGGGTTAGACAGTAGCTAGGACTGGGAACCCATAGGCCCCTTTCTAGGAGAAAAACGTCAACAACAAAAATACAGTTGGGAAGAACTGCCTTCCTCTGCAAGTAAGCAGGCAATTACCTCCTAATTAAGCTTTCATTAATTTGTTTTCTGAGGGTTACAGTAGTGTACCTGGTAGATACACCCCACCCTGCTTGTCACCAACATGTTGAAGATTATGCATTGCACATGAATCAAGGTGGAACTTTTTCATCTGATTAAACATAATTGCCTGATTTATTCCAACATCATGAGGTTTTAAAAGCCATGCCTTTTTGTTTTGGAAGCATTGGGAGGAACTGTGTGTTTTTTATTCCAGTTCTGTGTTTCAGAGGAGAAAGAGGAAGCACCAAGAGGGGAAAAGAATTCAGACACAAGGCAGAATTCAGGCCAGCGGTTTTTGAGATGTGGGCTATGGATATCTCTTGCATCTATCTGAATCACTTGCTATTAAAATGCAGATTCCTGGTATCTGCTTCAGTCCTGAGTCAGAAACTTCCCAGGTGATCCTTAACACCCAAGTCTGAAAATCTCAGGTAGAACAGGAAATTCTTTTCGGATATTAACAACCTAGATCAAGGAAATACACACACAATTCTAAACACTGTATAGTTTCTAAACCCACGCCAGAAAATCTCTCACTTGAGCATTTAGGCTGGGGAATGCTAGACTGTTGCATGTTTATACTTCATCCATCTACAGGCGGTGACGCAAAAGAAGAACGTAGGCCAGAGATCAGAGATCTAACAGTCAGTGTTTACATCCACCCCAAGAGCATCAAAGGCTGGTCTCAGGTGTTGTAAATGCTGACTTACTGTCCTTTTATCCAGTGATAACAAAGGTGGACATAAGTGATCTCCAGAAATGGTTCACACATGACTCCCAGGTTCTTGAAAAACCACAAGTGATTGGCAAATGTTTCTATTGCAGGCACACACTCAAACAAACAGCTCATTTCCTTCAAGAGCTCTTCACAGCCTGGCAGGGAGCCTGATGCAGTAAGGAGGGAAGAAGTCTTCCTCTCCCTTCCCCCACTCCTTCTTCCCTTTTCTGATGTCAGATTTTTCTGACACAAAGGAATTCAGACTGGGGGAAAGAAGCTATTGATAGAGAATTTCAGGAAGGGGACTCCTTCCGCCTCCACCTCCCTCTGGACCTCTGCCCTCTCAGAGTCCTTACAGATTCTTCATTTAATTCATTTCAAGAAGTCTGGGGGCCCCAACGCTCTGAATCACTGTCTTAGAAGGCATTGCGTTACACTGAACTTTATTCAATGTGCTCTGGGGAAATGTGGAGTTGGGCCCTGCTCACCAAAGATTTTGACAGGATTCTGATAGATTCTGATTAATGACAGCAAGGAAACTCTGGGACAGGTGGTAGTGTTTCACACTTTTTTTGCTTTAATAATAGCTTTATTGAGATATATTTCACATGACACAATCTACCCATTTAAAGTACACATATGTGATCCTTTGTGACTGGCTGCTTTCACTTAGCATACTCCTCAAAGTTCGTCTATGGTGCAGCATGAATAGTACTTCCCTTTTGTGACTAATACTCCATTGTACAGATATACATTTTATTTACCCATTCATCAGCTGATGGACATTTGGGTTGTTTCTACTTTTGGCTGTTAGGAATAATACTGTTATGAATATTTGTGTACAAGGTTTTGTGTGGACACAGATGTTTTCATTCCTTGTGGGTATATAACTAGGAGTGGAATCACTCAGTCAAACGGTATATGGTAACTCTATGTTTGACATTTTGAGGAACTGCCAGACTGTTTTCTAAAGCAGTAGCACCACTTTACATCCACCAGCAGTATATGCGAGTTCTAATTTCCCATTTTCTTGTTAACACTTATTATCATGTGTTTTTTATTTCAGCTGTCCTAATGGGATGTCTGCTATTTCGTTGCTTTTTAAAATTTGCATTTCCATAGTGGCTAATGATATGAATATCCCTTCATATTTATTGGTCATTTGTATATCTTCTTGCCCATGTTTGAAATGGTGATTTGCCTTATTACTATTGAGTTGTAGGAGTTCTTTACATATCCTAGATAAAGTCTCTTAGCAGATATATGATTTGCAAAATTTTTCTCCCATTCTTTGGGTTGTCTTTTCACTCTCTTGATGTGCTTTGAGGCATAAAAGTTTAAAATTTTGATGATATCTGATATATGTTTCATCTTTGCAGACTGTGGCTCACATTTTGAGAAATGTTGCTTAAAATGCAACTAGAAACCGTGGAAGCTTTGAGACCTCAAAGCCTGGCAGGGTTTCTTAGGTCACCTTATTGGGGGATTTCCTCCAAGTTTGGGATTTCATTTCCCTAACCCAGCCAGCCTTGGCTCTCCTCTGGGCTGGCAGCACAGAGCCCCAGGGACCTTCACCGTGTTTACAATTCCCTCTCCTGAGGTCTACCACAATAGAGCAGCTGAAACGACAGTTTGGAAATGTCCTTTATTGTGAGAACTCAATGGCCTTTGTCTGTAGGGTTTGAAATTTTGATGCTAATGTTGGCAGCCAAGAATTAGGAAGGAGGAGGGGAAGGGCTGGGAGAGGAAACCAGGCCACTGCTTTCCAGTCACTTCAACCCTATGCTGTCTTGGTTTTCTCACCCATAAAATGAGGGTGAACATCTCTAACTCCCCATCTGGATATGTGGGGGTGCTGTGAAGATAAATTAATCTGTATGTGTTGGAACACTTTGAGATCTTGGATTAAAGGCATTACAGAGGCACAAGGTATTATTATAATAATTAATGATTTAATAGCAGGGAGGGTGAGGCCACCAACGCAAAATGGGTTGGGGCAGGAAAGAGGGAGGCCTTGAGATGTGGGGGCAGTCTGGGCCTAGACGCAGGTTTTTATTGTCAGAGGTGAGATTGTGTGATTTCTCACAAACTGGGCTATTTCATCTGAATTCAGCACCACACACTAGCTGTGTGACCTTGCCTGTTTCTTTTCCTGGAACTGGAATTGTTTGTATAAAAGGGCTTGGAATAATGGTTGGCACATAGTAAGTACTCAAACGTGGTCCCTACCTGGGATCTTGTCAGGCTCTGCTTTTGCAATCTTGGCCAAGTTGCTAGACCCCTCTGATCCTGAGTTATCTGAGCTGTAAAATAGGGTAAGGATACTTACTAGCTCACAGGTGTCTGTGAGGATGGAGGGAGACTGTAACCCTGAGGAGAGGAAATCCTGTGGCAAAAGTGAGATCAGTCAAAGGGAGAACAGAAATAAAGGTTAAAAACCCGCTCATTGCTTACAAACTGCGGTCCAGGGGCCGTCTCTCTCCTGCTCCAGCAGAAGCAAGCGAAGCTCCCCTCAACCTCTCAGGTTCAGATAAGCCCTCGGTAGCCCAGGTAATTTACCCATTGACATGGAGCTGAACTACTTCTCGTCACCCCTTAGGAACACACCTGCTGATATGGAGATGCACTAAAGCCAGGGGAGAGATTCTGGAAATACTACAATTTTACCCACAGAGACGATATTTGCAAGTAGGGTAGCACCGGCCCTACAAATGGTGTGCATTCACTAAATGAGTTGTTATTAGTCATTGATACTGTTAGCTGTCCTAAGCTGAGTGAAGGGTGCACTCAGTATGGCTTAGTTAAGTCAGGGACCTTTTTTAGTATCTGCAATTTGAGGTGGGCAGGAAGGGACTGACAGTTCCAGGTGATAAGAGAAGAAAGCAGGGTCAAAAAAAGGCGGAGGGCGGAGGATGCCGTGCCCTCTGGAAGGCAGGAAGGCACCGGGGCTCCTTTTTCTTTCAGCTGGCAGGCAGCCTGGCCGGCCGCATCTGGTAGAGGCGCGGCGGCTGTTTCCCTCCTACCCGCCTTCCTCAAGATCTGCTTTTACCTTCCCAGTCGGCGAGTGTAGGGCTCCGCACGGCTGGGGCAGAACCTCCCTCCCTGAGGAATGCGGGTCCCGCTTCCCCAGGCGAGCGGGCCCAGCGCCTACCTCATTCCCCGCAGTCCAGAGCGGGGAGCCCTGCTGCCTTCACTGCACCCTCCGCCAGGATCCTTTCAAAGTCAACTGAAAGCCATTTCCTTCCGCGCCCGCCCCTCCCCTGCACTCCCTGTAAATCACCTGGACCTAGCATTTGCCTTGAGCAGGTTTTTCTTTTTTTGGCTTGTTTCTAACGAGAACTTTATAGGCCGTTTACTATACACACTTGTCTACACCCCGGTATCAAATATACCCAGTAGTTCTGCTCAGTGTACTCTTCCTTCTCCCTAGGAACTGGTGGTAACCTGGGGTTCTCTCTTGCCTTGTGCCGGGGCAGCATTTCTGTTTTAGGACCTTTACTGATGAATTATTTCGGGTTTTTATATTTATGCTCTTGCTCAAATCCAGCCTGTCCTCAGAATGTCCCTGTCTTCTCCCCGCTTTCCAGGTGCGTACCTTTCCGTCCCCCAGTGATTTACGTACAGAAAAGCAGGAGGCAGAGTCTCTTAATATTACAGAAACGGGGTCCTCTATTACACAGGTCTCTGCATATTGTTTTCCCACCTAACAGTCTCTTGGTGGACTCGCTCCAAGTTCAACTCTTTCTGGTTGCTTCATTAAGGTTTGGATTTACATCTGTAAACGGTCATGGAGACCGAGTTTCGGTGAGGAACTCAAGACGTGCTTTCTGACCCAGAACAGCTAAGGTGACCTGCTCAGGTAAAATCAGGACCCCTACATCCGATCCTCACTTGAAAGTCCCCTCTTCTGTCCGTACAATGGAGGATGTTTTGGCTGTTTCGTGCCCTTCAGGAGGCCGTGATATTGGGTCTGTGACACTAGGGTGACCCCCTCCACCACGTGCGTCTTTGTATCTTAGAGCTTCTAGGCAGCCCGGGCGCTGCTAGCTTTCGGCGGACGGCCGGCACCCTGGCCGCGCTCGCCCCACCAGCGGGCGTTAATCATTAGCGTTGTTCGAGCTCCGCACCCGCCGCAGACTTTACTCCGGCTGCCGCTCGCAGCGCCGCGAAGTTTCTCCGGGTCCCCGCGGTACCGCCAATTGCTGGATTCCAGCCGGGGCCCGAGTCTCCACCCACTGGAAAAATTCCTGCGCGCCCCTCCCTCCCTCCCTCCCGCTGCAGCTCCGGCTCGGCTGGGCCCCGACTTCCTGCCGGACGCTGGGAAGCCGCGCGCTCAGGCTGGGGTCCCCAGGGGCCGCGCTCGCAGCTGGCCGCTTAGCTGGCCGCAGAGGGGCTGGCAGTGGGCGGGAGCGGCCGGCAGCCTCAGCCCCTTACGAGAGCGATTTTCAAACTCGCGCTCGCGACGCGGCGGCACCTGGGTAGCCTTGCGCGCCGTGCGAGCCGACCCGGCGGGGTAGCGACCTCTCGGTGAGTGTCCCTCGGTTCTCCCCTCTATCTCTGCTAGTGCAACTGGCGAAGTGGCGATGCCAGAGTCAGTCCAAGGCCCCCACTTCCCGGGACACTCGCTCCAGCGCCCTGCTGGGTGGGTACTCGGGACGGCCAAGGAGGGCCCGGGGCTGCGTTGGCTCCTTCCAGTGCGACCCTCCAGGCAGAGGGCCGGAGGGCCGGAGGCTTGTGCACAGAGACATTTTCTGACCTTCAGGTCCCCTTCTCCCCACCCCCCACCGGAAACAAAAGGAGCGAACACGCCAGGTGGCTCCGAGAGGCGCAGTTTGAAATCCGGGGAGCCCGGGAAGCTGCGCCCAGCCGCCCCACTGCGCGCTCCGTCGCGCGAGGGCTGTTCCTTGCCTCGGATTGTGGGCCCAGGCGGGGTGGACTCTTCTAGAGAAGGACCCGAGCGTCGGGTCCTGGGAGCCCAAGAGGCGCCAGGTTCCGGGTTGGTGCCACACGGTGCTCGCTCTTGGGAATCTCAGCTCGTGTCCTATTCTCGGCCCTTTAGTTTGGAAAAGCTAGGATAAGGAGTGCAAACGTGAAATCTTAAAGACGATTTTAGGTATAGCTACTTACACTCTTTGGAGTGCTTTTGCAAAGAAAAGGAAGAAAGGAATGTGAAATATAGTGGTGGGAAGCTGAAGAGGTGTGTGGTGGGGAGGGAGGCCGCTGCGGTGGCAGTGTTAGTGGCCATTGTAAGAGTTTCATCTTTGAGGTCACTGGCTAAGCTGTTGGCATATGAAGGAGCCCGTCTTCTGCTCTGTGGACCCCAGGAGGCAACCCAGACTGCATCATCCTACAGGGAATCCTCAACTGGGGGTTCCCAGAGTCTCCCTAACCTGCCTCTGCATGCAGCCTAATCACACCATCCTTGCTCAAGAAATAATAAGCAGGGAGAGTAATGACAGCCCCAGAGTGTCCCCGCTGAGCACATTGCCTCTCTCCTTTCAAGAAAGTGCCTTTTTTAGCACCTCCTTTGCTGGACTGGGAGTGGAATCCTGAGTGACTTAGCTGGGAGTGACTTCTCCCCAACCATCCCCAGCAGAAAGCCTGGGGAATAACTAAAAGAAAGGTATACCCCTCTTTCTGTTTCTCACCCGCTTCCCTGTGATCCTGAAACACCTCATCTCCTATGCCTGCTGTTAATACTCCTGCTGCCCCTTACTTCCTTCCTGGGAAGGTTGGGCAACCCCTTGGCTCCAAGGGTATCTTGCTTTGGGTATGGGGCAGGGAGTTGACATGGGGTAAACCAAGTCCTAGAAGCAGAGGGACTGGTTTAAGAGCTGCTTTGGGGGCTTTTCTATTGCCTTTCATTAGAAGCAGACTGTCAGGGAGAGTGGAAAGAGCACTGGCCTGGAAACCCAGTGCAGAATTTTGCTTGAGTTTTAGTCCTGGCTGTACTGCATAGCATCAAAGATTGATAGAATCACTCGGGCTGGAAGGGGCCTCAGATTAGCCTACTCCGTTTACACATGAAGGCAGCAGAGTCCAGAGATGTGATGTGATTTGAGCCTGGTCCCTGTTGGCCAAATAGGGACCAGAACTCAGATTTTTCTCACTCTATGCTTTTTCCAGCATGACCTGAGCAAGTCACATACCTTTTCTGACACGGTTTCCACGTGAGTAAAGTGGGTTCTTGCTTACTCTTCCTCGTGGAGGCTGTGGTAAGGAGCCCACATGTGTGGGAAGTTTTCTATAAGCTCCTATACAAAATAAAGAGCTCACTGTAGCTAGGAGGGAATCTCAAGAACGTTACAGTTTGTTGGCTATGTCCCTGTGTGCCGCAAGGAGATTGTAGATACCAGGAACCAGTCGTGGGGGTTTATACCCCTGGCTTGTAATGTCTCAGCTCCAGAGTAAACATTTGCCTTACCAAACCCACAGCTATCCCAGGGTCACTGTGTTTACACTGGAGGAGGCCAAAGGCCATGGCCTGAGGGACGACCAGGGCTGGAGGGGAAAAGGGACTGTATTCCAGATGTTTGGCCCACCCGTTCCCCTCCAGCCCCCATCAGAACCCTGTGAAGGTGCGGCCTCCAAGCCTGGGGGGTTGCCACGATCCCAGGTTGGACACCGACTTGGGAGGGTGAAGTGTGGAACCATCTAGCAGTTCTTTGTTATGTTGGGGGTGGAGGGGCCTCTGGATGTTGGGAGGGTGTTGCCTTTGCAGCTGCACTGAGGGCCGTCTTTAACTCCTCATTTGTCTCCCTCCCTCATCCCAGGCTGCCCCTCTGGCCCAGCCCTGCTCTGTCCCTACTCTCTGGCCAGCTCTAGCTGCTTGTCCCTAGGCCTTTGTTCCAGGGCTGCAAGCCCCTAGTTCCCCAGCAAAAGCTCACAGGCTGGAGCCCTGGCGCCTGGAAATCACTGCTGCCAGCAATAAGGTGACATTGGAGTGCACAGGGGACCTAGCAGACCATTTCCTCCTGTCAGGCTCATCTTGGATGCCTAACTTGCCCCTGGCCAGATTCTCTTATTTATCTTTTCTCATCTCTTCCTTTGAATGGGTGGATCGTCTTTTCTCCCTACACTCAATGCCCCTTAGTTCAGTGTTAAAGTATTCATTCATTCATTCAACAGTTATTTATTGGGTACCCATTGTATATGAATGCTAGATGCAGGGGATACAGCAGTGAATAAAACATACAACAATCACTGATCTCAAGGAGCTGACTTCTAGTGGGGGAAGCTGACAATAAGCAAGATAGATAATTGAAGTAGAAAGCTTGTTAGTGATGGTGAGGATGTGGAGAGGGAGAACCCTGTACACTGCTGGTGGGATTGCAAATTGGTGGAGCCACTATGGAAAGCAGTATGGAAATACCATGTGACCCAGAAATTCCACTTCTGGGAGTTCTTCTGAAGAAACTGAAATTACTAATCCTAAAGATAGATGTACTGCTATGTTTATGACAGCACTGTTTCCAAAATAGGGAAACAACCCAAAGTCAATCGATAGACAAATGGATAAAAAAGAAGTGACACATATATATAATGGGATATTACTCAGCCACAAAAACGAACGATATATTCATTTGCAACAACATGGATGGGCCTAGAGGGTATTATGCTGAGTGAAAAGTCAGGTGGAGAAAGACAAATACCACATAATTTCAATTATACATGGATTCTAAAAAAACAAATGAACGCACAAAACTGAAACAGACTCATAAACAGAACACTGGTGGTTACCATAGGGGAGGGATGTGGGAGGATGAGTGAAATAGGTGAGGAGGGGGGAATTAGAATGTTTGCTATGTTGATCTAGGTGATGCTTACATGAGTGTAAACACATAGAAAATTCCAGCTGTACACTAAGATTTGTACATTTTATTGTATGTACCTCAATATAAAAAATAAAATCCAGTCAAGAAATTAAAAAAATTTAAAGCATGTTAGTGATAAGCAGAAAAATATGATTGGGAAGGTAGATATAAGTTGTCATAGGAGGGGTGAGATGGCATTATAGATGGGGTGGCCTGGGAACCATCCCAAAGAATGATAGTTTTGAGATAATGCCGAAGGACGTATTTCCCTTCATCTCAAGTTCCTTTTCTTGAAACCCAGTTCTGGCAACACTGAGGAGTGAGTGAGGTTTGAAATTGGACAGACCTGGTTCAGATCCCAGCTTGACTGCCTACAAGCCTTGCGGTGCTGA